ACAACCTTTGAAATCAACTTTGGTCGGAAAAAAAAAAGATTATTTTTTTTTTTGTTTGGGCCTGAAAATACTCCAACAAACTTCTTTTCATCAAATAAAGCTTAAAAAGGTGTAGCCCACAGTTGCTTCAATTGGCTTACCAGCTCATTATCGTTTTTTGTTGGTTGCGCATTTGCTCCAGCAGCAGGAGAGAGATCAGGTCTAAAGTTTCTCTAAGGAATTGAGGAAGAAAAATGCCGGTACGGCATGGGCAATCGTCGTATCGAGATCGGACGGATGAATTCTTCGGTATCGTTGAAAGGATGAGGAGATCAATTGCTCCGGCGGCGAATAATGTGCCGTATGTTAGTGGTAGAAGCGACGACGGGAGAAGAGAAGATCCGAGATCTGCCATGATTAACCAATCGGAGTTTGGCAAGAGAGCTTCTAAGATCGGTCTCGCTATTTACCAGACATCGCAGAAGCTATCGAAGCTAGCTAAACGTAAGTTTTTAGTGGCTCAGTGATCTCGTGAAACTGGATAATTTAGCTAGTTATTCCGTGAATCTGTAATGCCCTGGTTAGCAATTAGAACGATCTTTTGAAACAAAAGCTGATCTAAATCGTAGATTAAGATGTAACCCCTGGTATAATTTGCATAGATTATGATTCCAAAAGCTATAATTGAGCAGCATAGGCACCACTGCCATGCCTGCACAGAGGCATTATTGTTGTGCATACCTCACATAAACCCTTGGGCTATGGCGTTACTCCTCTAAGATCACTCTCTTCTTGGTTAAAGTATTCATTGTTTTCATCTCCACCAGGAAATGTAACTTTTTTAGTTTCCCTAGAATCAGTTTGTTTAGTGGTGTGAATATCTCGAGTGCTTATCTTGCAAACTTTTAGAATGCATAATACTTCGGAATGTTTCCTTGTTATAGTAGGATGGAAGAGGCTGCTGTTTGTGGCATAAGTTAAATTAACTTGTCGTTTTGTTGTAAATCAGTCGCAAAAAAGACATCGGTTTTTGATGATCCCACCCAGGAGATACAAGAGTTGACGGCCGTAATCAAACAAGAGATCTCTGCTCTAAATACCGCTCTGCTCGACCTTCAAGTTGTTCAAAACTCCCAGAATGATGCAGTGAACATCTCTAGAGATGCAACTACTCACTCAGCAACAGTTGTCAACAATCTAAAGAATCGTCTGATGGACACTACCAAAGAGCTTAAAGATGTTCTTACCCTGAGAACTGAGGTTCTTTGTTTATTTCCTTGGATTTGTTTTTGACAAAGCATGGTACTCATAAGTGACTCTTTCCTTTTGCTAGTGCAATGATGACTGAGATATGATATTCTGGTATGTGTTGCAGAACATGAAAATCCATGGAAATCGAAGGCAACTTTTCTCTTCAAAAGAATAAACAAACCCTTTCGTTCGCCAACGCCCTTTGGCTTCTAAGTCTGCTGCCAGTGAACCTGCTCCTCTTCCATGGGCAAATGAATCTTCGTCATCGCCATCTCTGTTGGTTCCAAGGTAAAATACTTCTAATATAATAACCATCCAGTCCAGTCTTTGGCGCAAACCATCCAGTCTTTGACCCCAAAAGTTGCCATTCTAGTGGTTCCACCGGTTCCGCAGCATATATCTCCGTTGCCATTTGTCCTGTGGGTGGATCCATACGAGTGCCAATGAACACCAACCGATCCACGGACTGCTCTCTTGCTGGCCTATAAACCGACAATTTGCAGTCCATCGTCTTCCGAACCAAATCGTAAGGGAAGAGCCCCTTGAACACCCATTCGCCAAAAGTTCGGTCGTACATTAACACCTCACCATCTGGGTCCGTACTCGCGGTTGCTAGATAGATGTTGCCGTTAGCAACAGTGATGGATTTTGATGCCATGGCTAAATTCTCCGGTAAGAAGTTCTCAACCACGGACCATTTCTTCGAGCCGATGTCATACAATTCAGCACTTGTGAAGAAGTTGCCAGTTTCTCCTTCGCCTCCAAAGACGTAAAACTTGTTGTCCACGAAAGCAGCTATGAAACAAAAATACAAACACAGTGAGTGACATGGATCGAGAATTCCAGAGATTATTAACAAAAACGAATCAATCAAGCGCAAAGAGAATAATAAATCAAAACTGAAAACACCTTCGCAGTTTTTTCGGGCATGATTCAAGGGACGAATTGAAGTCCACTGTCGAAGTCGTACATGTCAGCTGCAGCCAAGGGTTTCGTGTTCGAATCAGCACCACCGGCTACCAAAGCCAAGTTTCCCGCAACTGCCCAGCCATATAGATTTCGCGAGACAGTCATCCCGGCGCTTGGGCTCCAATTGTTGGTGACAAGCTCGAATTTGTTGATGAAATTGCTGCCCCCATTGTACACACAGAACAGTAAATCGGCTTCAACGCACATTACCGTCACGTCATCGGAGACTGTCAAAGGTGGGAATGGCATCTGTGGAAGCGTGTGCCAGACATTCTTGTACGGGTCGAAGACGGACCATGAACCATCGGTGTCGTAGATCAGGAACCAGTGCTCTACAAGATTGTTCGCTTTCCTCAAATTGAAAAGCGCATGCTTATCGATGGATTGCAACGCTCTGTTTGAAGAATAGATCGCCGGATGATCAGACCTCCAGCAGAAGGCCAAGAGGTTGAGAAGAGAATCCGGGAGCATGTCGTTCATAGACATTCTGAGAATCGCTGGGAATTTGTGAGGGCTTGAGAAAGAGATGATTATCAAAAAGGGCAAGGATCGATGCAGAAAGGGGAGGGAACAGTGTCAGATTTATGNTANTGNNNNCNNAGTTTTGTNTTTCTTTGACAACCGCTAGGATCATGCCACGTCAAGTATCCTCATCATTCATATCAACGATCAGGCATAAAAATATGCACAAGGCGAGGATCGACAGAGTTAAACCGATGAGATCGTGCCACAGTTTCGCCATCACTCTCTTATCAACGGGTCAGCGATAGGACACATCATCAATCCTCCCAGACCTTTTGATTCGACCAAATCAACATTGATTTTTTTTTTTTTTTCCACTNTTTACTTGGTAGTGACTTGAGGACTTCAGATGGGTGTTTCTTCATTGACGAAGAGAAGGAAGTCGCCATAGTTTTTAATAAAGACAGAGAACAAAGGTTAGACACAGCGAAGGTCTTTGGAGAAGATGGATACTTTAGAGAATTGGATCTCGGAGAACCTTTAGATAAAAGGTGTTGGCCTATTGTGTTGTCTTATGTTCCAAGTTTAGGGAAATTTAACTTACCCGAAAGAGGCAAAAGGAAAAGTCAAAGACATTAGGACTGTCGATTTGATCCAAACATGTTGATTTTTGTTTGTTCCAAAAGCACGCGATTAATAAAATATGTGTTTCAAGTAGTGAATATGAACAAGATTTGGTTCATACGATTCAAAAGCTTAACAACTTTGCATTCTATTGAACACAAAACAGAGATTGGTTCATCTACACAAACACTTAAATAAGAAGCTAACACACATAAATAGACACGAGAGTTGAAAAAAAAAAAAAATTGGAGGCAAAGGAGTTGATATCCAACAATAATGTAAAGCTCTTTTAACGCTTGGAGAATTGTGGTGCTTTACGCGCTTTCTTGAGCCCGACTTTCTTTCTTTCAACAACTCTTGCGTCTCTAGTGAGTAAACCTTCCTTCTTCAGAGGTGATCTATGGTCTGCACTTACCTTTAGGAGGGCACGAGCAACTCCGAGAGTAATCGCTTGAGCTTGACCAGAGAGACCGCCTCCATGTGCTTTAACAAACACATCGTAACTGTTCTCGTAACCCAAAGTCACTAATGGAACCTTAACGTATTGAAGCCAAAGTGGATTTCCCTGAAGGTACTCCTGAAAAAGGTTTACAAGG